AGGTACCCGAACAGACGCCATGGCAAGAGAGATTACGGTGCGACAGCTGTCCGGGAAAGCTGATCTGTTTCGGCTCACAGACAGAACTGTCCGTGAGTTGAAAAGGGAGCTGCATGGGTGGCTGCCCTGCAACGATGAATCAAAGCGCACTATCAGCTCAGTGGGGCTGGTTGTTGGAGACAGGCCCCTGTTGAACAATGAGGAGATGCTGTCGGATGCTATTCCAGGTGCAGAAGTTACAGCTTTCCTCTGCATCAAGCCGGTAACGTGCTCAAGCGCATCAACGGCTGGCTGCAAGCTTGAAGATTTGCGCGTGGTGGAAATTCCAGAGGGAGAAGGACAGGTTGGATTTGAAGCTTTCAAGTACTGTCGATTTTTGGCAAGTGTGACAATGCCCGACTCCGTCACTCGGATTGACGAAAGCGCCTTCCAGGATTGCAGCTCATTGGCAGACGTGGCCATGTTCCTTCGCCAGAAATAGTTTTCTGTTTGCTTCTTTGGGGTTCCCTTTGTTTTCCACTAACCAGGCAAACACTATTTTGTTTGCTGGGGTCCTAATTCCAGCCAAGGTCCAACTGCGTCACGGAGATTGGGGCACTGGCCTTCTGGGGCTACGGGTCATTGACCAGCGTGACCATTCCAATGACTGAGGGCTCACTGAAACGAAAGGTGACCGCCAGTTCAGGCGGGATCGGATGCAGTGCCTTCGAGAAATGCAGATCTTTGAGACCTGGTTGTTGTTTGGAAGCATTTTTTTGCAATTTTTGTGGCTTAGTGGTTGAAATCCCCACTTCACTGCTAAAAACTATTGTTTTGTTCTCTTTCCAACGTCAACCAAGGAGAAACGTGACGATCCCCAGCTCCGTCAGCGTGATTGGACAGAACGCCTTTGAAGATTGCTGCTCCTTGACCAGCGTGGCCATCCCGGACTCCGTGTCGAAGATTGGAGGAAGTGCCTTCCGCAGTTGCAGCTCCTTAGCGAGCCTGACCCTCCCCAGGTCTGTGACTGAGATTGGGTGTGGTGCCTTCCAAGGTTGCCGCTCCCTGGCAAGCGTGGCAATTCCCAACTCGGTGACTGAGATGGGAAAATGCCCCTTTCAAGGTTGCAGCTTACTTGCAAAAGCGACCATCTCGAACTCTCTGACCTAGATCGGGGTGAATGCATTTGCAAGCTGCAGATCGTTGACAAGCGTGACTATCCCCAACTCCGTCGCTGTGCTTAGACAAAGTGCTTTTGAAGGTTGCAGCTCTTTGACCAGCGTAGCCATCCCAGACTCCGTGACAGAGATTGAAACGAGTGCTTTCCAAGACTGTCGCTTGTTGACAAGTGTGACCATCCCCCAATCCGTGAGCAAGATTGGAGGAAGTGCCTTCCAAGGTTGCAGCTCCCTAGCAAGCGTGGCAATTCCCAACTCGGTGACTGAGATGGGAAAATGCCCCTTTCAAGGTTGCAGCTTACTTGCAAAAGCGACCATCTCGAACTCTCTGACCTAGATCGGGGTGAATGCATTTGCAAGCTGCAGATCGTTGACAAGCGTGACTATCCCCAACTCCGTCGCTGTGCTTAGACAAAGTGCTTTTGAAGGTTGCAGCTCTTTGACCAGCGTAGCCATCCCAGACTCCGTGACAGAGATTGAAACGAGTGCTTTCCAAGACTGTCGCTTGTTGACAAGTGTGACCATCCCCCAATCCGTGAGCAAGATTGGAGGAAGTGCCTTCCAAGGTTGCAGCTCCCTAGCAAGCGTGGCAATTCCCAACTCGGTGACTGAGATGGGAAAATGCCCCTTTCAAGGTTGCAGCTTACTTGCAAAAGCGACCATCTCGAACTCTCTGACCTAGATCGGGGTGAATGCATTTGCAAGCTGCAGATCGTTGACAAGCGTGACTATCCCCAACTCCGTGACTGAGATCGAACCGGGTGCTTTCCAAGGCTGCAGCTTTCCGTTGACCAGCGCGATGTTCCCCCCATCCGCGAAGATTGGAGGAGGTGCCTGCCGAGGTTGCAGCTTCCTGGCAGTCTCTAGGCTCATTCCCTGACTGGGAAGCTTTCTTAGGTGTGCGCCTATGCCGCATGCCTTTTGGCACTGAATCCATTTCTGGGTCAACGTATGGGAGCATCGGAGACATCTTTGAACCTTGACTCTTCAATCATCAAAGGACATATTTAAGTCCCAGGAGTGTTGGCTTTTCCATTTGTATTTGATGTGCGACTTCCCTTTGCTCACATGGCTTATCCGGTTTTCCGGACAACGCCAGTCCTCGAGAAGACCTTTCAGTGGCACGGAGGCGTTTTGGTGCCTCTGAGGTTCCATTGCCACTTGACGCCTTCGGGGAGCCTGGCGAAAAAGCGGAGCATTCTTTTGGACAAAGTGCCAGCCAGCCAGATCCGTGAGGCCCCTCAGGGCAGAAATGGTGGAAATGGCACCTCTAATGCCTGTACGGGTCCGCGAGTGGCTTTTTGGGGTCGCCAGGTTGTTGTTCCATGTTGGCCTTGAGGGGTTCATCTCCTTTTCCTCATCGAAGCGCTTTTCCGAAAGCTGGTCACAAAGATGGCCATTCTTGTTTTTTTTGCCGGGGCTGCCAAGAAAAGGACCCCTCATTTTGACAGCTCCCCCACCGGTTCTTTGATTGTGGGCAGCCATGAATAGCAGTGCCAGAATCATGTCAACAAATCCCTTCTGGGCCAAGAATCTGAACATCAACATCAAGATTCTGCCAGACGTGACTAGCAGTGCCACCTCTGAATAGCAGTGCCAGAATCATGGTCACAACACGCTACATGGTTTTGGCGTTTACTTCAAGAACATCAACCAGCGGGCCACTTGTTGTCACCGGCCAGCGGCTGACTAGTAGCTGAGATCCGTAACCCCCGGGTTCTCGACCTAGGGGGGTCTATCCCAGAATAAGGCCCTCTTCCAAGGGACCCCTTCCCGGCCCCCGGTCCTATAATTTCCAGAGCGATTCCTGGTTTGCTTGTTGCAGCGCAGCTTGAGTCCAGAAGGCATGGGCCACATGGGTTGCCACTTTGGGACTGGAAGAATGAGCATGTTTTGCATGGGCCCAGCAAATCTCTTCCGATTTCGCGTGTACGAAGAAGCAACACCAGCGTGAGGGGGGCAATATTTTTGGGGGGTCCGAACCAATGAGAAACACACCGCGAGGCCGAACAGATGAGGGACCAATTTTGGAGATGCGAAAACAAGAGAAGGCAACCCACGGCAAAAAAACAACACGCTGATGTACTCTGGCACCTCTGGGGAGGCACCCGGCAGATCAGGTTTCTCTTGGAAGGACCATTTCATTTCCCGTGTGGGAGAGAGGCCCTCCGGTCCACTCACACGCAACTGGACGTTTCAGGGTCCTATTCCCTGGCGTTGGACAGGAGGGTGCTTCCAGAAGGCCCCGGTAAGTGGAACGCTTCAAGTCTTCCGAAAGGGTTCCTGGGAGCTTCAGTTGCATCTACGGTCTACGCCATCCGCTCGCATACGGTCCGGAGTCGTATCTGCCCCTTTTGGTCCAACTTGGAAAGGGTTCGGGGGGGAGGGTCGCCGCGATTTTATTTTATTTTCCTCGCCCAACTTTGCTGCGCGCGCGCGCCCGTTGGCGCGCGCGCCCGTTGGCGCCAAGGCGAGGAGGGCTTCGCGGCGGGGCAGTGCCGCCCGGCGGCGCAGGGCCACTTCTCCAAGAAGAGCTGCAAGGATCTCGCGGGGCGGCACCGAAAGTCGTGGTGGATTGGCCGCTCGGGTCTCCCTGGTTCATGATTCTGACCCAACGTGGTGAACAAAAACCACAAGTGTCAGTTCTGTATGGCCCATATACTTGGAGGGATACCCCCCTATTGGTAAACTGGGGTTGATTGGTATGGGGTCAACATGGTCAACTTAGTCTCTGGACGCGCGCGCCCCTTTTTTGGCCGAAGGACCGCCCAAAGAAGGAGGCCAGTGGCTAGTTGTTTAAAGACTAGGTTCCCTTAGATGGTGGTTTGGAGTGGGTTGCGATTTGAACTTTTGGTTCTTGTTGAGGAGGATAAATGGGAAACGGATTTTTCTAGTCACCAGGGAACATGGGGTACGCACACACATCGATCAGGATGCCAACCTCGCAAAGGAGATTGCAGCCGCTCCCATGAGAATTGCTTTCTTGGTTTGTTGGGTGTGCCGCTTTTGGGTTGAAGGGATTCATAAACCATCTCCATCAGTGCGCTCGGAGCCCCTCTCCTGACTTTTCAATGCGGAGCTTTCCCAGCTGCGTGTGGGCGGGTCTTTTTGAGGATATCTATGGGGTTTCCTTAAAGCCCCTAAAGAAAGAACTGTTTTTTTTTGGCGGTCCCCCCCAAAGAAGGGGTCACACCCCTGTCTCTCACCAAATGGGTTTCGTTTCGCCAGCCGGCACGCGGGCTCCCTGATACTGACCAAGCCGGCAGCGTCCGTTTGGTTGGTGCATGGCAATTACCTTGTTGGTCAAAGAGGGAAATGGGTGTGGCTCAAAATTCGGGAGCTAGGGTTATGCAGGTTGTAGCCTTTGGTTCCATTTGCCAAGGTGCCATGTGGGTAGATTTTATTGAGCCACAGCCAACTAGCTTTTGTTTTTGGGGGAATCCCCACTCTTTTTGATTCTCCAAGGGACGTCAAAGGAGAGCCGTTGGGACGAAGTCTGTGGTGGACTCCTTCGTGTTGGACAACCATGTGATCAGCAGTTTCGCCTCGTTTGCGAAGCAGCAGGTGGGGGGCCCGCGGGAGATCCTGATCATGAGCCTCAGATCAAGACTCGTGGTCAGAGTCATGGAGAGCCTGTCCTTGAGGAATTCGCTGACAACACCGGACCACTCCAGGTTGTTCACCGAGCACACGCGCTGGAACAAGGCCGCTATGTCGATGACCTACCCATTCATGAGCTCACTGAACATGGACGCAACCAGGTGGAACCAAAGGTGGACATTGCCAAAGAGGTATCGCCTTGTGGGCGGTACGAAGCCCGGCTTCGTCTTTTCTTGGAGAGGACATGGTGGTCCCCAGTTGAAGTTCTTCTTCTCCGGTTTTTCCACGTCACAAACGGGAGAAGGATCTCATGGGTTGAGGCTCGCGGCCCGAGAAGGCTTGGGGGTTTCCAGGATTGGCTGGCAGGGTTGGTGCGTGAGATGTGGATGCGGATCGTTGCAGTTCATCCAGAGAATCTCCGCTGCCATTTCTGCCCCCCCAAGGTACATGTTTCTCTGTTTTTCACCTGCGAGCGGCTTAGTTTGGTTGGCGTCCTCAAATTTCTGGCCCCCGAAGACTTGGGCTGACCCAAAAGTCCCCAGCTCCCCGAGATTCTGGACCTTTGTTTTTCCTTTTCCGAGCTGCTCATGTCTCCATGGCTCATCATTCTCTTGTCATAAACTTTGTACATCTTTGTACCAATGGACCAACGTAGCTCTAAGCCACCTGTGTCGACTGTGAAGCCCAGCATGTGCACTTGGAGGGTGCTTAAAGCAACGCGCTCGCCCTCTAAGGTTGACCCCGGATGAAGTTACACCCCTGTTAATTAATGTGTGGGTGTTCCCCTATTAATAAACAGGGGTTTAGCTTCATCCGGGGTCAACTTTAGGTATGGAGAGGGGGTGATCCCTAAGGGGCATTGTTCCCTAACGCTCCCTCAGAAAAAAAAAAAAACCTCGGGAAGCCGTTTCGGGAACCCCCAAAAAACCCGAACAGTGGCTCAGCCCCCACCCCCCGGGAACGAACCGACTCCCCCCTAGGGATGGAATTCCACAAGCCTCCTGAACCCGAAATCCGGCGCCAGGAGCAGTGCAGCCACCTGGCAGCAAGGGTTTTTAAGTAATGTTGACCCAGGATCTAAGTAGAACTCGTCCCATTATTAGGGGGGTGTTCCCTCCAAAAGTGGTCTGAATCCCCACTAAAAGGGGACACCCCCCTATTAATCAACCAGCGGTTTAACGGTTAACATTCAACCCGAAGTGAGACTGGAGCCTCCGCTGCACGTCTGGTTCCCGAGAGTTTTTTTTTTTTTTTTTTCCATTTGCTGGCTGTTGGAGAGGTGATTCAAAAACAGAGAATTCCACGGGAGCAAACCCTGGTAAATGGAAAGCGAGGACTAATCAAACTTGGTGTGGTTGTCACAAATAGTTGGTAACCCCCAAACCTGCCCTGCTAAATGGAAACAAGGACGAAGAAGCCTGCGGTCCAGTTCCCGGTGGCTCCGGGCCCATACCCTTCAAACATCACAAAAGGAACTCCCCTTGAATTGCGCCAACATGATCTTTAAACCATCCCAAACGAAAGAACAGAGGACCCCCACCCGAACCAAACACCGGGTTGGGGTGCGCTTCTGGCATTACTTGGAGATAGCGCCCAATGGTGCCTAATGCCCTTGTTGAGGGTGCTCTTGACCCCATAAGAGCCTCTTTGACCTTGGCGCATGTGATTCGCATGAGAGAGGCATGGCGAAGCTTTCGAGAGGTCTGCGGAGCTTTGGGGCTTTTGTCCATGTGGGTGTGTCTGTTTCTGAGGTGACCCCTTTTTGGTGGTTTCAAATAGAGCGCTTACAGTACATCCGAATCGGGGCCTACAAAAGGACGAGCAACCCATATGAATCCATGGCACACGGGAATCATGAGGATTTTTTGGGGGCTTAAACCCGGGTGGGTTTGGCTTTTTGTGGGGAAAAGGTGACGGCCTTGCCAGTCTGAAGTCTCCTTTCCACGATCCATCTTTTTAAGGTTGTCCGAAGTTGACACGTACCTTTGGACATGTTCGTTCGGTTGACAAGTTTCTTTTGAGGTTGTGTTTGTTTTGACTCACATGCTTGGTGTACTCCGGCAACCCTTAGTTGCTAGTTGGGGTGGGTGGTTTGGGAATTTGAACCCCTGGTTCTTGCGGATCGTTCATGGGAAGCCATGCCGGAACACCAGCAATCCAGCGATTCGGCTCCAAACCATAGGGGCTGGGGGGAGGGAGGGAGGGCAGGGAGCCCAATCTATTGAAACCTTAGGGGCTTGTTTGGGTTCCCTCCTTCCCCCCCCTCCTCCCCAGCCCCCATCAATGGGAAGGGAAGCTGACTGTGGCACCGAGGCATTGGCTTTGTGGGGAAAGTGCCGGACAAGACTCCCGAGGCTCGAGTGGTTGAGTGGTCGGCTGGCTCTG